CAGCTTCTCATGATCTACAAAGCGCAGATACGGCCTTTTCTAGAATACTGTTTCCACATATGGGGTTCATCACCAAAACATACGCTGATGCTCTTAGATTCCATCCAGAAAAGAGCCATTCGCCTGGTGGGTGACGCCACGCTCACTCATTCACTCTTTGACATCATTGGAACACCGTAGAAAGTTCGGCGACCTTTCACTTCTCTATCGATACTTCCACGGGAAATGTTCTTCGGAAATCTCTGCTATCATCCCTTCACTAGCAATACCAATCAGACGAACTAGACAAGCCCAGTCAGCACATCCTTCCGTTGTCAACCTCTAAAGATGTCGAACAGCACTTTATCAAGACTCCTTCATCCATAGAACGGCTAAGCTCTGGAATTCATTGCCTGTGGAAGTTTTCTCAACAACATATTATCTCCAGAAGTTCGAAAAAAAATCCAATACCTACCTCCTGTCCCTATCCTCCCTAGGAACGCACGATGTTCTTTGAACATTATAGGGATTCCCTTTCGTGCGCTCCAAGCGATAAAAAAAATGTACATTTCACAATATGTTCCACGTGGTTCGTCAGAAGGATGCTACTTCTGGGACATATGGAATTGTTCCAGTTCGGCCATTCAATGGACGACCTTGCTCGAACATTGCATGAGACGAAAGGGATTGAACATCCCAAGGACAACTATTTTAGGTCCAGGACATTCGGACTTGAATTGTACCAAATATGGACGTCCCAAAGAGGTTGCGTGCTATAAGGGGTGGTTGGAATTCAATGTGATGATTTTATGGAAAAATCGAGTAGAAAAGTGTTGCACTGGAGGAATGTTGAAAATTCATCTTATTTCAGACTCGATCTCGACTGCTCTTTGTCATGGAGCGAATTTTGGCACACCCGGTATATTATCATCAATTATTCATCAATATGACATATTCACTTAACCTATATAACAATATTAGAATAATAATATGTTCGAAATTCTCTTTCCTTTTTTCGTCTGGGTGAAGGTGAATCGTATGAATTAAGGTTATTTATTACTATTATATTAATGATGAACGAACGGCAGATTTAATTGACTGAAATGAGGAATGCGAATAGAAAAGTGCTCAATTTAGCAGAGAATTTAATACTCATTAGCTCCATTGTTTGATTCGGAAAATAATTAATTGATAATATACAGTTATGTCAGGAAGTTGATCTGGTCGGATGTAATTTGTTTTTCAAATATTGGTATTCATTTGAACTAAATCGTCCTCTCAGTTTGACCTGTGTATACACTTACCGACAAAAAGATTGTGACTCCGAAAATGTTGTTACAGTTTGTTGTTCAAGAACTCATAACGCAATCGATTGTTGTTTTTGACATATTGATTATTTTAACTTATAAACAATATAAGGCCTTGGTAGTATCATAGATTCAAGACCCGACGTCAACAGCGGATGAAATAACTGTCGAGAATTATTATTCAGAATCATAATTCAGCTCCGCGATAACGTTCGTAACTTTTCCATTCGTGCGTAATATGCTTCTTACATTACATATTACGTAATATCCCTAATAACACAATGATGTCCCATGGATATCCTTAGGACGTTCTGTCGGGACATTCAGGACGTCCATAAGACGTTCGAATTTGCTACCTTGGACGTCCATTGGAACAATTAGGGACGTCCCTGAGGGATGTCCCTGGGACTAGCACTACGGAGGACATCCTTAGGACATCCGTAGGACAACCTATCAGCAACGCTGAAGGTTATCAATGGGATGTCCATAGGATATCCCAGGGACGTACAAATTATTCTTGAATTCGAATTTTTCTGGATCCTTCTAGGACCAGATCTTGCATAACTGATAAGAACATCCAGTTGAGTTGATGGTCCGTAGGAGGTCCCCAATAGATCCTGAAAAAGTTTTCCAAGAATGTCCAATGGACTCACGTGAAGGACATTGACGGGGAGTATTTATAGCCTATGAGCAATCATTCGTCGGCGAGGTGTAAGTTAACGTCCTCGCAGGGACAACATATCGAAAGTACCTATTTTAACGTCCATAGGACGTTATTTTCAGGACATTGGAAGAGTACAGTTCATGTACCTATTGGGACATCCGTCGGATATCCCTAAGGGACATTCGAAGGATTTTTACACGATTCTGGAAATATTCAGGGCGTTTGTGCAGAGATATTTGCAGGAATGTACTATCAGGGACATTTCATGGTTGTCTAGAAGGGACATTATATGAGATCTGAAGTCATGTCAGAATATGTACTACTCGGGACATCCGATGGATGTCCCTAGAGGAACGTTCAAAATCATATCCCATCAGGGATATGCCAAGAACATCCTTGCATGGACATTCTCCAATATGACCACGTGGGACGTCTAAGGGATGCTATTTCTAAGACATTTGGAATGATGTAGCAGCTGGGACATTCCGTGGACGTCCTTGCTCGGACATTGCATGATATGTAACGGTATGGGACGTTCAATATTTTTGGTCCGGGACGTTCGGACTCGAATTGTACCAAATAGGGACGTCCCTAGGACGTTGTGTGCTATTAGGGATACTATTGACCCATTTCGATTGATTCAGCATGTACCTGATCGTTACCACCGATCAGTGGTAACGACCTGATTCTGGTGACAATGCATCATGAAATTTTTGTCAGTCAGAAAAACGAAATGGCAGCTACAAAATGGCAGACGAGTTTCGTAATTATAATCTGATACTGAATCCACATTGGCATCTGAGAGTTTTTACAGTCAGAGATTATGATTGGAACATCAAAATTAGGAAATTCAAGATGGCGGACTATGGGTTCTCGGATTCGGAAATTATGATTCTTCCGTCAAAATTAGAGAACACAAAATGGCGGATTCAATATGGCGAACGAAATTCGTAGTTATGTTCCGATTCTATTCAAAATTGGTGTCTTGAGCATTTTCAGGGTCTTTCAGATTTTTTTCATGTTCTGGTTTCCACGAAAAGGGATATCCTGTAATGTTCAGAGAACATCATGAGAACCAAGGGAAATAAGGTGGGAATTGGTGTTTTTCCTAAATTCCTGGAGGTTATATGCCTCGGGGAACACCTCCCTTGGCAATTTGTTTCAGAGCTTCGCTGTTCGTTGAAAGAACGAGTCTTTGGAAAGAGATGTTCTGCAGGTCTCCAAAGTGACCACGAAGGGGTGCGAAGCCTCAACTGGACGGGTTAATCTCGCGGAGACTGCCAAGGGAGAAACAATTGTTGATATTTCAGAAGAGCATCGTCCATGAAAATATCTATGAAATAGAGCCAGATCGCCAACTTTTCTACGGTGTTCCAGAGAAGTGAGTGAGTTTGTGAGCGAGGCATCACCCACAAGACGAATTGCCTTTTTTTAGACAGAATCCAACTGTTTCAGGGTATGTTTGGGTGCTGCGAAATTCAACATGACGAATTCAATATGGGGGATGAATTTTGTGTTTATGATCCGATTCCAATCGAAACTTGTGTATTTGGTGTTTTCCGGGGAGATTTTTTAGTTGGAATTGGGTACTTACAAGAAATATTAGAATACTGAAAAACTCACTTTTGTATAGTTAGTGAAACTGAAAAATAGAAAATAAATAGTGGTTTGAGAAATTGAAGATACACAACATATTTGAATAGAATATACTGATATGGAGGTGCTGATATACTGATTACACTTTCATTATTCCATTCTCTACTTCTTTACAGTGTCACTATCTAATGAAGCGTATTTAATCAGTTTTCTGAACTGCATTTTCATGTTGGGAACGAAAGCAGATTCGTTCCCGAAACGTCCAAAGATGAGTAAAAATTCGAATTTTTTTCAATATATCTATATTTCTTTCCTCCAGACATTTTTTCAAACAAATTGTCACTATGATGAGCTACTGGATTTCTTTTTCAGGCTCCCTGATAGAAAAATGTGTTAAACGCAGTGACATTTTGGAGCAAATCATCTGATTTGTCCCACAACAAATATATTTTTTTACTCACATAACTAAAATGGTATTTAGCGAACGGATATAAGTACCACCCTAAATGATCGATTAATCTCGGATTGTCGATCTGTGATTTATTCAAATTATTAAACGTTACCATGGCAACACGATTTCTCAAACACATTACCATGGCCACACAGTTCATTAAACACAGCTTCAGTAATTTGAAACATGTCTGATGGTCTGTCAATTGAATTAAATGTCAACTGTAATTTTCGAATTTTGTATCAGAATTATTCAAACTATTTTCCTTTGTATCAGTATTCCTCATTAAGAATATATGCGAAAAGTAGACGGAAGTGAAATCGAAGAGAATGTTCTGGTAGTTGCATATCTCCAAGAAGTGTTGAAATGAAGCATCCATCTTCGAGAACAATTTATTTATTCTGCGCTAAGCATGACAATAAACGTGAAACGAAGGTTAGTAAGCAATGGACTGGACACATCTACAACCAATATCACTTATACGCGTCTCGCTGGTTGCATGCAGTTGCATGTATTATGTTCTCAATTCCCATTCCTTTCGAAATATTTTGTAGGTTAGCAGGAATAGCAGGTATGTTAATTGTGATTTTCGGAGTACGTAGAAAAAGCAGAGTATGTAACGCGTTTATAAACTCTTCTAGACACTCGTTTATCAAACACTCGCTCCGCTCGTGCTTAAAATACTCGTTACTAAAAAGACGTTTAAAACACTTGTTACATAATATACTATTGAATAATACGCGTATTTTTATTTTAAGAAACGAGGAGAGAAAATCCCAAAAAATCAAGTAGAATGAATTCACCTCCTCGATTAACCTACTGACAGTATTTATTCAACTTTCATTACTCGACTCAAAGGATTGGGGTAAGTCACCCTACAATCCAACCCTCTACCGCCGACATTGCTCTAGCGTCGCGACGCCTCCAGCTGTGCGCGTCCAGGGGAAAACCCCGTTGGTGGGGGGGGAGTGGAGCAAACCGAGAGAGAGACAAGAGCACCGCCGCATAGCGCACCGGTTGGGCCTTCATTCGCGAACGAAAGGGGCTCCCGGACGCAATTCCGAGAGTGGCCCTCGCTACAGGGTCGGCTTCAGAACATTTTCCACAAAAAACTTGAAAAACCGGAAAATCCAGATTTTTCGTATCGGGGGCTGTGATTGAAGACAGGGTCGTTTGGGAGATTTCGGGGGGATGGAAGCGGTGAATGGGCTGTTGGGGGATGGGGATAAAGGGGTGGCGCAGCCCCCTAGTCCCCTTACAGGGTGTTACTTGCTGATCGTCATCGGGGAGCCGTATACCGAGCAGCACAAGGAAATAATCCTGCAGAGGATTGCGAAAGGTGAGTTTTTCAGTGCTATGGACAAAGATATCGATTGATTAAAACGGATTCAGGCGTCCAATAGAGTGATGAAATATAGACCTCTATGGTTTTATTTGAACAGTATTGATGTTTTTATCTATTTCCTCGGTTAGTTTCGATAAAAGGAATATTACATTGTCCATAAGTATATATAGGAAATTGACCAAGCCTATATAAAGAGACTGTTGAAGGTCAACCATATTTTTCATATCATTATATAGAGAAAGAAATAATGTGACTATGAAACCATCTGCATTGAGAATATTCTACTGAAAATGTATCTGAAGAAGATGTGTCGCACTGAAATGAAAGAACTGCGAATATTTTCTTCAAAATTGAAAATGATGGAAGATATGAATAGAAGGACAATATTTTATAAGGAATAATGGTGAAAAGCGGGTATATTTCCATGTGAAATATCTAGTAACGATTCGAGTTTGTTCTCTTGTGCAGCCATGTTTCTACGACACTTCACGATCGATTTCAATGCGGTTTCCAGCATAAAAGTAGAATATATATTAATGTTTTCATACAGAGTATGAGATCCGACAAAGTGAAGTTAACTTTCTTCAAACATACTCACCGTCATTAAAAATGAAATTGAGAATATGCAAGTACAAACTAATCAAGCTATTCTAATTAGATACAATTTCAAAACATGAATTTTTATTTGAATGTCTAGTATCTATGATGAGGTGAGCGGATAGTCCACTTATGACTATCCATCGCACCTTCGATAACTTGAAAAAAAATAATTACACAGAAAATAATTAGAAAAAAACAACGGAACGAGTCGATTATTTTTGGCAGGAATCACCGTTTGACGCAAAGAAGATAGATAATGCATACTTCAACCATCTATTCCTCACGGCGACTCCCTTTATAATTTGACAAGGAAGCAAGGGTCATGTTATACATCATTGCGAAGGTGATTTAATCCTGTATGTAGTTGAATCGAGGAGGTGATACTTCCATTTTACTTGATTATTTGTGTTTTTTCCTCCTCGTTTCTATGAAATAAAAATATGAATAATATTTCAATATATGTGTGGTAGGACAAATCAGATGATTAGCCCCAAAATGTCACTGCGTTCAACAAATTCTCCTATCAGAGAACCTAAAAGAATATTCCAATAGCTTGTCATTGACACTTCGTTTGGAAAAGTGTTTGAAGAGAAGAGATGTAGTGTGTCAAACTATAAGCAGCACAACTTTCAGAGAGAAATATTTCGCATTTACATGTTGAGAACGGGAGCAGATTCGGTCCTGAAACGTCCAAAGATATAAGTAAAAATTCGATATTTTTTCAATAAATCTATATTACTTGTCTCCAAGCATTTTTTCAAACAAATTGTCACTGACGAGCTACTAGATTCTTCTTTCCGATTCCCTGATAGAAAAATTTGTTAAACGCAGTGACATTTTGGGGCAAATCATCTGATTTGTCCCACTACAAATATATTGAGATAATACGAATATTTTTATGTTATAGAAACGAGGAGAGAAAATCCCAAAAAAATCAAGTAACATGAATGTTTTTTTATAGTTTGAAACACAATATTAAAATCATAGGAAAGGAAGATAACAATCAAAAGAGAAAACTCGAGGTATCGTATTGCATTCTTCTTAACGGAGACGATAGTATTGCTTCCCATTCAGTCGACATAGACAGAACACGGTTTTTACTACTGAATATTGAACATTGAAATGATAAATTCAAGATCAATTGATATAAACATCCTGTAACCCATTTGTATGCTAACATCATCACTCATCCATTTGCCAACAACAGTATATTAGTCACTGAGAGGTATCGAACTATGAGGAAAAAAATTTCGAAGAAAAATATTTTGCATTTTTATGTTGAGAACAAGGGCAGATTCGTTCCCGAAACGTCCAAAGATGAGTAAAAAATCGATATCTGTTCAATATACCTATATTTCTTCTCTTCAAACTTTTTTCCAAACAAAGTGTAAATGACAAACTATTGGAATTTTCTTTAAGGCTCCCTGACAGAAAAATCTGTTAAACGCAGTGACAGTTTGGGACAAATCATCTGATTTGTCCTACTACACATATATTGTAAGATTACTCATATTTCTATTTCATAGATACGAGGAGAGAAAATCCCAGATAATCAAATATTAAATGAATTAATTCTGACACTATGGCAGTGCAAAGTTTTTCTGATCTCGAGATATTCGAGTTCAAATGTTATGTTTTTTTCTATATGTTTATAAAATGAATGAACGAAATGACCTCTTGCACGTTTGAAAATGTTTCTCTAGTTATTGCCTGGCATTCCTCATTCTCGTCCCAAAATATCCAGATCATTAGGTTCTGTAACGGATATTAATTTTCGAATGACCTTGAAGAAAAAAATCGTTGGGTGCCATGTCCGGCGAGTGTGCTGGCCATTCGATTCCCTACGACCTATCCATTTGTTTAGGAAATGTTGAACAGTGTGTTTCAGAAATGCAGGGACAAATGCCTTGGAAAAATATCGCTCAGCAACAAATTTTGTTCACATTATTCACGGTTATATTCAAACAATGTACACATCATCTGAAAAATGGGATTTTATCCAGATTGCAGGTGCTTGCTCAGGCCTCAGCGAGCCATCCGAATGGATTTTATATGAAGAATATCACTTCGTATTTCTTTGCGGTTTTTACCAAATATTCAGAAAATACATTTCTGTTCAGGATTTCATTCTAGTTTCTGAAACCTACTCTGAGAATGTCATGTGGTTGAACACAATAATTTGATGGATTTCTGGATGATTCCAAAATATTTTCGTTTTCGAGAGACGTGACAAAGTATCCAAGATCCAGATTTAATATGGCGGACGAGTTTTGTAACTATGATCCGATTTCATTCCAAATCAGTATCTGGGAAATTTTGGGATCGGAGATTATGATTCTTCATCAGAATTAGGATATTAAAAATGGAGGATCCAATATGGCAACAGAAATTTGTAATTATGATACGATTCTATTCAAAATTTGTATCTGGGTGTTTTCGGGGTCAAAGAAGAGCTAGAAAACAAAAAAATAAAAGTATGTTGAAAAATATTCAACTAAAAAAATGCTTTCTAGAAATAATTGTACATAGCAAAACAACGTTTGCCGGGTATAAGCTATTGTAATAAATTATAGTTATATAAATTAATGAAAGACCTTTTCAAAGAAGTGAGTAGAAAATGAAGAGTAGTTTGAAAAAATGAAGAGGTATAGAGTACCGAAAGAAAGAGAAGTAGAAAATAAATAGAGTATAGTTTGAAAACTAAAGAATCCCGCTTTAATTGATTGAGAACTAGAAATAATATAATGAAAGTTTCCTGATAAATATTTATCTAAAAATTTTTTTCTAGAAATAATGTTTATGGTCATCAGACAAACATTTCAGAGGTTCCATCTGAATATTTCATAAATAGAAGCCATCAAAAAACTACATGATGATATTTTTTTGTATGGAATTCTGTATCGAATCTAATTGATCCAATGGATCTGGAAGCTAATGATACAGAACTCAGTTCCATTTGAATACAAATTGTCTGGTCCTTTGTTCATATGGACTCTTCTCGACACTTTGCTATAAAGATCTACCGAGAAAATTCGAAATATGCCAATTTGAAATCCAAAGTTGAGAGTCATATCTAGTGGATTATTGGATCAAGAGTTTGGTGTCACAAATTCAGAAAATATTTGATCCCTTATATGCCGCACAAACTATAATACCGGGTGGCTACGGAAGTATTGCCTACGGAATATCTTAGTTATTGTATGAAGTAGGTTCGTGAAATTTGGAGCGTCGATATAATGACATAAGAGCTAGAATTTGAGCATATTGACATGTCGAAGTTAACTTCCGGTCTGACCGAAAGTAACATCAACTTTCTTACTTCAAATGGAAACCCTATTTTTTTTTTCTATTCGCTTTATTCAGCATTCAATTCCCTTTCTAATGATTTATCACAAGTTGGTATTCAACCAGAAACTAGATCAGAAAAAAATTATTATTGAAATTCACCGAGTAGGCCGTGGAAGCAAAATGTAAGCCAAAAATTGAAAAGTTGGCTATGGAAACCATACGTCACTTGATAACAGTTGCTACTACTGTGATATTTTATTTTCATTCGTCGGCGTTATAAAAAGCCGCAAAAAAAAATATTGGAAAAATTGGGAAAAAAACAATACTCTGTAGGTCCATATCTTAAATAGGAACATACAACTTTTTCTTGCCTGTACTATTCAGCATAACCATTCCTTTCTAATGAGATGATAGAAAGTCATTTTTTGGCTTTCATTTTGCTTCCACGGCCTACTCGGTGAATTTCAATAATAATTTTTTTCTGATTTAGTTTCTGGTTGGATACCAACTTGTAATATGTCATTAGAAACGGAATTGAATGCTGAATAAAGCGAAAAGACAAAAAATAGGGTTTCCATTTAAAATCAGAAAGTTGATGTTACTTCCGGTCAGACCGGAAGTTAACTTCGACATGTCAATATGTTCAAATTCTAGCTCCTATGTCATTATATCGACGCCCCAAATTCCACAAACCTATACTTCATACAATAACTGAGATATTCCGTAGGCAATACTTCCGTAGCCACCCGGTATACCCATTATTTCAATCGATTCAAGATGAATATGTGTCAAAACAGCTGTTTACTTGGTGGCAAAATCAACTGAGCCACCTCTGTGGATTGATTTTGAAATGTTTCAACTTCATTGAACACGATTAGTTTTATCAATGGTTTTGTCAATGGTAATCATCATTTCTCATTTCAATTTCAAATCGTTTTAAATAAGTATGAACAATGTTTTTCAAAAAGGTTGAAGGTAGGAAATGGAATTATTTTTTGGAACATTATTTTCTAAAGGGCAAAATCTGTGCTACCTCGGTCAAAAAGAACTGTCCGAGGTTTGGAGTACAGCTTTTCGCACGTGATAAGATTTTCTGAGTTTTTCTG